CTTCACGTCAATATTCCAACATTAGCTATGTTTTATAATGTAATGCAAATTTCTGGCAAATTAATTTTTTAATCACTTTTTAAATAAATCTTCTCTTAAACTTTTCTTGTAAAATTTGCAATATCTTTCCTTGAATGATCAAAGAATTCATCCGTGATCTTTTAACATTATATTAATAAAGGATCAAAAAAATTAACATCACCTTGCGATTGTTTTCCTCTCAGGTAATTTATTTTAATATAATTTGCAATGGAACAATCAATAATCTTAATGAAATGCGAAATAGAATTATAAATTCATTATCACTGAATATATTCTAGAATTAATCTAAATGATTTCATCAACCAGGTGAAATAATAACCTAAATAATCAATTCAAATTGTTCTTTTATTTGTAAATGAGCAATTTTCTTAAATCAATATAAAGTAATTTCAAAAACAAATTCTGAACTTTCATGACTATTCGGGAACAGAAATTTTTTTGCATTATTTTGTTTTGTAGCCTTACTATTATTCTACTTCGACAATAACTTCGAAACGTGATTTCGTTAATTAAATTTTTACTTCTCACATTGATAAAACACTGTCAACAACTACTGATTTTCCGACGGTAGCTATTCACTATTACAATTCTTACAAGGAGTGTAATGACAGTTTTAGTCTTTATGAGTTTTAGTACAGAATTTTCGGGTTAATTAGTCATCATCATTGATATTTGGCAAGAATGGAATTTGTTTTGATTTCTGTTTTGTGTACTAAATTGATAATCAGTTATATTATTGCCAATATCAGCGGTAAAAATAAAACAATGATTAATATTGAACAGTGATAAAAACTTCGCAACTTCGACTGTTTATTGAAGTTCTGGCATTTTTTATCACCCCTTAGTGTCAATTATCATCTTATCACCACTGTAACTGACAACAATATCACTGGTTGTTGGAACATTTTTTCCAATTTGAGCAAGGAAAATTAAAATTAATTATGAATTCTTTAACTGGAAGAACGAAAATAAAAGTCATCAAAGTTAAATCATTGCGGTAGCACATGTAAAATCAATATTTTTCTTTGTTGGGGTTGAAATCCCGAAGTCATTTAAATTGAACCTATATAAGGTTGATATAATCTATTTATATTATATAACATTAGTTCTATCATATGATAAATTTGAAATATTCAACTAAATTCAATTTAGTATTTCATAATTGAGCTAGAATAATTTGAATAATTGGATAAGCACAAAATTGATTTTCATGCAATCAAGCACAATCAGTACATTCCTCCGACTGTCCTTCTAGTGATCTTTTTGTCACTTATTGATTAACTATCAATTAAATCAATTTAAGTTAGATAAAATGGAATGACAAGCATTAACATGAATATCAACAAGTTATGCGAAATGAAATATAAACAATAGTATATTGGCTGCATCTGTAATTGGGACGCAGTTTTGAAGTCTTATTCACATTGAAAATGCATTGTTCTTACAGTTATCGATTTTATGAAGTATTTCATGAAATATATTTTACAAGCATATATATATAATTATATTCAAAAAACTTTGTTGTTTAATCAGAATATTCAGCGAGTATTAGCATAAAAATTAGTCAGCTACTAATAATAATCAATTAGCAATATATCAATTTATTTTTTCATTTCTTTTAATCCATAAATTAACAATTAGTTTATGCATGGTAAATTATGTTAGGGTTGCAGGAGGCTTTCGTTGTAATAACTTATGCATTTCGACATATTTATGAAGTTTATTCAGTGTATCATGTATTAAATAACTATAGAATACAATACCAAAAAAAACTTTGCTTTATTTATTCAGAATTTTTAAATCTGCACAACGACACCAATGTTAACCATAATAATAGTAGTAGTATGGATAACCACCATAGTAATAATATGTCGGCGTTCCGTATCCACTGTAGTAAGGAAAATGAGGATATGGGGAGCCTCCACTAGCCAAGCTGCCTGCAAGAAAATTCAAACCAGCACCAAGTGCAGAAGACAATGAGCCGAAAGGATTCACTGTAGTTTGGGCTGCTGCTGCTTGACCAGCAGGTGCAGCAGGACGACCAGGTGCAGGGGGACCACCAGGTGCAGGAGGACCACCATTTTGTGCAGGACGACCTGCTGGAGGTGCAGCAGGATCTGCAGGCGCTGGGTTATTGTTCAGCTGAAATTTAAATAAAATTTAAAATAAGCTTTCTTTCATTATTGTTCAACGACTAAAATTTAACATAAGCTTTTTTAGAATGATTAACAATCTTAAGATGATAATGCGCCACATACGTAATTGCACTGAAGTAAGAAAATTACAGATACAATACATTAACTATTACCATGTAAGGTTTACGATATTTGTAAGAAGTATAAAACTTACGCCGTGTCCTCCCCTGTTGTTGTATGATAACAGATTTAAATTCAAAAACTGTGCATTTATTTCAGCAATTGATAGTAATGTTCTGAAAAAGTAGAAAAACATTAACAGGAAGGTAAACAAAATAACTGATATGATAACATCAAAAATATTTGTTCACACTTTAACTTACACTAATGTAAGAGCAATGAAATGTCTAGTGATAAGAACCGACAGCATATTAAACAATCCAAAGTTCCTGCAAGTATGATTGATAGTATACAATTGATATTACTATAATAAAGTTCACGTCTATAAAATTGTTAGAAAAATGTTCTCATTATTCTTAGTAAGAGAAATTCATTCTATCAGAATTTACCTCACAGTTAGCAGGAAACTTGTTCTCATCGCATTTTGTCTAAATAAATTATCACAGAAGGTAATATTTCACAATGCCTAATGAGCGACTTGAAATTAATTTAATGCTTTAACTTTTCAAAAGTTTCGTCTTCTCGATTATCAGAAAATGATAAGCTATAAAATTCAGGATAAAGTTACTCAGAAATTACATAGAATCTATTATTCATTCGCAATTGAGAATCGAATTAATTACTAACAAGGACGGTTAGTTACAAAAAGAAATCTATTTCATCAATTTTAGGTTGGCTGAATAGGATGAGGGGAGGCAATTAATTCATTTATGTAATATATACAACCGTATTTGCTTGCCTCTTTACAAAAAAACTGGTTCTAAAAAAAGTGAAATTTGTGCTTTTGACGAATTTACTATGTTTCTCCAATTAGTTCTACCTCGGAAATGTTATCTTTCAAGACAACAAGAAAATCGATTCGGAATAATTGGAAGTGAAATTGTTATGAGTATATAATGATGATTTTGATTGTATGAAATGAACGACGATATTATTCCGATTATCTTTTCGAAAAACAAACGTGAAAATAATTCAGAAATTATTTTGAAATCAAGATAATTCAAAAATCATTAGAGATTAATTCAAAAATTATCATTTCTATTTCTATTCTCGGAAATACTTAACTCATACTTGGAGACGAATTAAATTGATCCTTAAAATCACGAAGTTTTTCCAAATTTGATGTAGAAGAGAAAAATTTAAATTTAACTATGATAAATTTGCTGTTTCTTTTAATAACTGACCTTTTATTTGTAAAAGTTCAACTATGATGAATTCGTTGTTTATTCTAAAATAGCTGACCATCTTCTTGAATAAAATTTAACTGTGACAAATTCGTTCTTTCCTCTCCCTGTCATCTGTACTTTTTCCTTTAATTGCTTTAATAAATGATCAAAATTTTGAGTTAATGAGAATATTGGTCAGCCTTGGACTATTAATGATTAGGGAAACTGTTGCTTGATTTGGACCTTATTATTGAATTAAGGCGGAATCAGAAGAAAAGTTTTTGGTTAGCCATATATTGCGTGATGTTTTAGTAATAATAAGTTAACACATGAGTGAACAGGTGAGGAAGTATGTTATCAGTTATTTCAGTTGATTCTTTTTCCAATTAATACCAAACAAAATTTTGCACAGTTCTTCAAAATCCAAGCTCTATAAAGTGGTACAAAGGAATTTGGAGAAAGCAAAACACTGGGCAATGATAATAGTTACAATAGTAATAATACGGCCTATACCATGGCTAATTGTTAATATTCATAATAATAATATTGCAAGAAGTTTCTTGCATTCTTACCCACCCGCACCAATACGAAATGGATTACAAAACAAAGTTGAGTCAGGTTGTAAATTTGATTCGTTTCGTTAGATTCAGGCATTGTTCACCGTTGCTTTTTCAATGATTTATTCCGCATTTCTCATTAAAACAAATCGTTTGCGCGTATTTTAGCCGGCAGTAAGAAACGTGTCTTAACGAAAAAACCATTATCTCTGAGTGTTCCAATAATAATTCCAAATTTTTTAACATACAATATTTAATAGGAGAAGAATGATAAAGAGCAGTGAAAAAAACTTAGTGAATTTATTATATGTTAATTAATGGTTAAGGGATACCGTAATAATGTTATTGCTTCAGGTAATCATTACATGGATTGCTGTATGTATCGAAAGTATTATTGTTGCTGGTAGTGTAATGAGTGAAATGCCACAGGCTGGTTTTGATCCATATTATCAACCTCGACGTATAGTACTCGTCTGCTCAACTACAACATTTGCCTTTTTGACACCATTTTTCTGGAATCTTTTCTTGATATCACTTTGTACATTGTATACGGTTAAAATAAGAAATGTTTTATGATTATCGGTTTTACAATACTTTGTTTTTACAACAAATGCAAATTTTTTATTTATGTCAAATTTAGCAAGTAATATGATAATTTCAGGTTTTATCAGTAAACACGTGAATAATCGAATGTCAACAGAGATCTGAATTTGAAAGCTAACAGTTCATTCAGAAAATGTTAATTACAATCGCTATTACCGAGTATTTTTAAATAAAAGTAAAGAAATCAATCGATATTTAAAATTAATCTTTTGCAATGGATGGTAAAAATTTATCAAGCTGGCAGAATAAGAATAATTACAAAATAAAGTCTTATCAGAATTGAGATTTTTTAAGATTTATAAATGTTGTAGTAAATATTTTATTGCTATGTTTAGTTTAAAAATTAATCATATTTCAGGTTTCTTGTATTGATTAAATACAGAAATAACGTATCGAAAACTAAAGATTCCGAATGAAATTTTTTGCAGATTAGAGACATTATAAAGGTGAGGAAGGCTAAAGAATTACTTGAAAATAACAATAAAAGTTGTATTTCTTTAAAGATACTTCAAGAAAATGCAATCATTCATTAGTTACAAAGTATTTTGCAACGAATGAAAATTTTTTATTTCACAGATCGACAGAACTGTTATTCGGAGTTCAACCACAATATTTCAACCATTCAACGAATAGTTAGCAAAGAATTGGTCAATTAATAATTCAATCAATTACTAATGTATCCATTCATTTTTTCATTTCTTACTGATAGCTACTGATAATTTTATGCATTGCAAATGATTTTAGATTGCAGGAGGCTTTTGTGGTAATAATTTATCGACATATTTTTAAAATTTATTCAGTGTAGCATGTATTTATAATAACTATAGAGTACAGCACCAAACAAAACATTGCATTAATTAATCAGAATTTTTTAATCTGTACATTGACACAGCAGTTAACCACGATAATTATAGTAATAGTATGGATAGTGATCATAGTAATAATACGTCGGTCTGTACCAACTATATCCTACGTATCCATTGTAGTAAGGATAATGGGAATATGAGAAGTTTCTACCAAGGAATCTGCTTGCAAGCAAACTCAAACCGATACCAAGTGCAGAAGACAATGAACCAAAAGGATTCGGTTTCGTTGTAGTTTGAGTTGTCCCTTGACTATTTTCACGTTGACCAGCAGTGGTTCCTCCAGCCATTGCGTTGCCATTATTATTTAACGACTGAATTATAAAACGGACTTTTATTAGAATGGTTAACAAATAATTTTACAATGATAATGCTCCACATACTGTAATCGAACTACAACATAATAGCTGTGGTATGCGATACAGTAAGCATTACCGTATGACCACGATAAGACAACTGCGGTATGGGATACATTAAGCACTACCTTATGCAAATATGAAACTTACATTGTTGCCAGCTCTGTTGTTATTGAATGATAATATATTTAAATGGAACTGTGCATTTGTTTCAGCATTTGATAATATTGTTCTGAAGAAGTAGATAAACATTAAGAAGTAAGTAAATGAAGTAAACTGGTATGATAACAGCAAAAATATTTGCTTGCCACTTTAACTTACATTATTATTAGAGTAATCAAGTATTTAGTGATAGGAAATGGCAGCATAATAAATATTCCAAAATTCCTGTAAATATTATTGATAATGTAGAACAGATATTGCAACAATAATGTTTAAGTCTAAAAAAACTGGTAGAGAGATATTTGTTTTATTCTTACTGAGGGAAATTTTATCAGAATTAATCGTAAAGTTAGAAGCAAACTTGTTCTCAACACAATTTTGCTGCTTATAATTCTCACATAAGATGATATTTTACAAATACTTAATAAATGACGTGAAATTCATTTAATGGTTGAATTTGTTAAAATAATTAGCTTGATTGTCAGAAAAATGATAAGCAAAAAATTTAGGATGAAGTTACTCAGAAGTTATATAAAGTCTATCATTCATTGGAAATTGAGAATCAAATTAATTATTACAAAGAACGGTTAACTGTGAAGAGAAATCTATTTCGTCATTTTTACGGTTGAATTGGATGGGAAGAACCAATTAATGTCATGTACAAAATTGAAAACACCCTGTCTCCTACAAAAAAACAGGTTCTGAAGAAAAGTATAATTAGCGCTTTTGCCAAATTCAGTTATGATTCTTCAGTTATAATTCTACTTCGGAAATATTGCTTTCAGCAAGGAAATCGATAACAGAGCAATTGGAAGTGAAACTAAAATAAAATTGTTGTATAACTAATTTTGGGAGTACATTGATGTTCTTGATTGTATGAAATGCACTATGATAAAATATGACCGAATAAGTAAAGCAAAATATATTGATTACCTTTCTGAGACAAATCCACCCGGCATATGAAACAGATATATATTTATTTCTTGATGGCATACTCATCCAGACTCAGAAAACTATTGTGAAGGTATTTTACTGTAATATCCTCTGTTACCGTAAGCGTACCTCATATCATTGCAAGTAGTTTTTCTATATTCTCTACGTCATCTCTTTCATTCTTTCTGATAGAATTGTTGCGCTTTTTTAAAAATTAAGTGAATTGGTAAATAAAGACAGATAGAAATGTAAAACTGTTTTGTTTCAGGAGACTGTTGTATTTTAGGAATTCAACAGATCTGAGTAACGTAACGGTTTTGTAGAAGAGAATAATTGATGAAACAGTAGAGCATTGAAGGTCAATAGCTTCAAAATACAACATAGAATTTTCAAAAACTACCGTTTCGGTTCTCGGAAAACCTTAATTCGTATTTAGAGACGAACTCAACGAATTCTTAAAATCGTGAAGTCGAACTTCTGCATTTCGGAAAAATATAACTAAAATGGATGAATGGATGGATACAAGCAATCCTAAAACATACTCCACTCAAATAATTATTTTGATGAATTGCGAGAAAATGTGTTAGAAAAATGTCCGAAAAATGTTCCCATTGCTTAATTTAAGTTTTCCCAATGACAACACACATTTAATGTGAATGAAGAAATAAAGAAATGAAGGAGAATTGTTGCTTTAAAAGCTAACCATTTTTATTTTGAAAAAACTCAACTATGATTAAAAAAAACTTGTTCCTTTTCTTCCACGTCATCTGCACTTTCTCCTTTAATTATTGCCTAATGGTAATTAAAAATTTGAAATAGTAAGACACTAGAAATGATAGATAAGACTGTTTGTTGATTTAGGCATGATTGCTAAATGAAGGATGAAGCCAAAAGAAATGGTTCTGGTTTATTGTTATTTTAAAAAATATGTAATTCTTCATTATATGTTGAACTGACTAACTACTAATTTTAGATTGAAATCTGAATTTAGCAAGAAAATAGAGCCAATTTTAAATTTCTATTCGCTTGACTCAAAAAGTTTGAAATGCATATAATAACAAGCATTATTATATACTTAAACTTTTTCATCTTTTTCGTTGTATCTTCAAGAATGAATTTTTCAACCAAAAAAGGAATACAATGGAGTTTTAAAATTGGCTCTGTTTTCCTGCTGAATTCAGATTTCAATCTAAAATTAGTTAGTCAGCTCAACATATAATGATGAATTAACAATTACTATAAGACAACAAAACGATTTCGTTAAGTTTAAAATGGGTTAATACCATTCCACCCACCTCCATCAACATTGTCTCTTACCATTACGTTCGATTTATTGCACAACGATTGAAATTTAAAATAACTTTTCACAGAGGAAGCAAACGCTTAAATTAAATGGCATGTAAATTGAGAGTAATGTGTCACGTACTGCAATATATTATGCATAACCTCACAAGAAGTGTGAAACTTCTACCTCTAACGTGAGAATATTCTATTGAACGAGTCTGATAATCCGGGATCACAAACCGTCAATTATGCATTTTATTCAGCAATTGATAGTACTATTCTGAAAGGGTAGAAAAACATTAGCAGGCTGATTATCATTATGATTTACATTACTGTTAGAGCAATCAAATATTTAGTGATATGGAATACCAGCATATTCGACAATCCAAAATTCCTGCAAATATGATCGATAATTTACAATTGATGGTATTATAACAAGATTAACGTTTATAAAATTGCTGAATATATATTCATTGGTTCTAACTGAGGGCATCATATTTGAGAATTAGCAATAAAGTTAACCAGATATTTGATTTCTCTACGTTTTGTTCTTCAAAAGATAATATTTTTGTATGTACTAAAAAGGTAGTGTGATATAAATTATTAAATATTTAATTGTGAATTATAAAGATTGCCTAAATTTTAAAATTTTGTCTATAAATTAGCCTATTGTGGTTCGCTGATCAGGTTGATGAGATAATGATGAGATAATGTTGTTGAAATTGAATGAGATAATGTTGTTGATGAGATAATGCTTTTTCAATTATTTCCATTTCTTTTACTTTCTTTATTGTCTTAGTGTAAATATGAACTGCTCAGAATGATTACTCCAAAATGACTAAACTTCTAGAAGTTCAAGAATATCCTATTATAATCTCAAACAAAAATTTTTCTTAAGCTAAAATTCAAAAAAAAATTGTGAAAATACTTTTCTTGCATAAATTATCTGTAAGGAATAATGAATAGTTATCTGACAATATTTCTTCTTCCAATTATGATACATTTTATTCTGATATCACTGATCAAATATTTAAAAGAAAGATTTCTTTCTCAATCAAAAATTCCAAAAACATTTGAAAAAGATTAAAATCAAAATTAAAAATCAAAAAGGCAATTTAATGATTGATAACAAGTGAGGTTAAAGTTCAAAGAAAAGTGATGGCATCATTTGATGCAAATTTAATAATTCTTTGAGTTTTAATTATTAATGACATTCTTCTCAATGGCAGTTTAATAGCTGGTATCGTAAACCTGTCAAAATATGCATATCAGAAAATATAGCTGAGATTTGGTACCATACGAATGATTCTTGAATTCATTAGCTTAAATCATATCTATAAATGGATAACAAACATTATTTAAAATGAAAAGGAAGCTCTCTTAGACGATCTCTAAATTTAACAAAAGTCGAATCAAAGCGAAGATTGCTCAGAAGTTCATTTTCTTCGCGAAACGCTTCGAAGGATTGGGAGGGTAAAAAACATTCCTTCTGTTGAAATGTTTTCAAACTTAATAAAAGATGAAATGGTTTTGGAAGGGAAAGTGTGAAGCGAGACAAGAGAATTCAGGAATAATCGAAGAGGATGAGAAAGGTGCTGTGAAACTTTTTGACTTGAGAAGTTTGTTGTTTCGCAGACAAAGGTCATTGGAGAATTCTATTATTCATGGAAGATGAGTTTATTAAACTTCTTGACGTGATAACACAATTCCCAAAAAATATAGCGAATTGAGTCGATCACTTGATTATTCTTCTTTACTTGCTGACTCGGGTGGATAATTTGGAGTGCTTGTATTGATTGGTTCAGAGAGCGTAGAAAGTTTTAATGATCAAATTGAAGCATTTGTTTCCTTTAATTTGCTAAGCGCGAAATCAACCGAAAATTCCTTTATTACTGATAGAACAAAAAAGTAAAATCCGGTTTTGACCATTTATTGGCGGTGATACGGTTGGTAGTACTATTAACAAATGTTACAAGGAGCACGATGGCAGTTTTAGTCCTTATGAGTTTTCATACCAATTTTTTCGCCTGTTATCGATATTTAACAAAAGTGAAATTTGTTTTGATTTCTGTTTTGTGTGCTAAATTGATAATCAGTTATACAATATCAGCGGTAAAGAGATAACAATGATTAATATTGAACAGTGATAAAAATTCCACAACATCGACTATTGTTTGCAGTTCTGGCATTTTTTCATTACCTTTAAGTACCAATTACCATCTTATCACCACCATTATTGATAATAATATGACTGAATGTTGGAACATTTTTTTCAATTTGAGTAAGGAAAATTAAAATTAGTTACGAATTCTTTTATCTGAGGAAAGAAAATAAAAGATAACTGTGTTAAATGATTAAGGTTGACACATGGTAAAATCAGTAATTTGTTTATGTTGAAATTTTGAATCGCGAAGTCATCTAAATTTAACCTACAAAAGATTGAATGTAATCTATTTAGATTATGAATCATTAATTTTCTGATATGATAAAATAATTTGAACAGTTCAACCGAATTCAATTCAGTATTCATTAATTGAGCTAAAATAAATTGAAAA